GTAATTTACCTCAGCAGGACTTTTACTGCCACAGGTCGTATAGTACTGCATATATGTGACTGATTTTCGCAGACACACACCTTCATAAGAGCAAAAAAAAAAAAATTCTGTAAGTTACAACTACATTTTACGCATGGCAGCCATGTTGGATTGTGAGCTGTACATTTCTGACACACACTAAGCAAATTTCCAAGTCAAAATTCTGATTTGAAACATTTTTACTTTGGACTCAAAAATGAATTGACTTATGTCACCAAAAAGAAGTCGCCATTGATTTCTGCACTACCAACATTTAAAAGTTTTACCTAAGACAGTTAATCCTTCGTTGTTTTTTTGCCTCACAATTTGATAATTATTACTTCTAGCTTATGACTAGTCTGGGTGTTTGTTGTTTGAACAGTATTAGTTAGACTAAAGTTAAGGCATTTTGACCAAACAACTAAGCTAACATTAGTCCTTTTCCTGCTATGTAGCTAAGCTAGTGCTAGCTGTGTTTTCCACAGAACTGTTTGCATAATCAATACAGAAAGGCAAATATTTACTAGTTATGCATGACTGTAATTGTCATTAAAGTTTTGTATGACATGGAAAGCTATATTTGTCTTGTATTTTAAACATTCTTTGTTGATGCAGAATGAATCTAAAAATCATTGAGCTTAACCAATTACTTACTTTTAGTAATCAAGGTTGTTCGTTACTCTAATTTGCTCTTTTCTAGTTTTAATGTGAGTCTCACGTCAATTTAAATGTTTTTTTTGTTTGTTTTCTTTTTGGTTTGAAAAAAACAAAACACAAAAAGAAAAGTATGTCGGGTCCCAGGGGAAATTCACACAACCTGATACCTGTTCACATTGACCATCTGAAGAAACTGGGTTGGAAAAGTACCCTTTTTAGCAGTTTGAAGAGTTCATTATTAGCAGCTACAACTGAATAATTCATGAGGATGAATTTAAAGCCATTAAACGTCTGGTTCTGGTTTTGTCTGTGATGTATTTGGACCAGGGAGGCAGCTGTCTTGTATGCGAGTGTTTTAACATTTCACTGCTGCATAAAACTGCAGAAATGCTGGGCTCTTATAACAAAAAGCATATGTGTTATTGTTTTTCTCATGACTGCATTCTAACGATGCAAAGTTAAAAAAAAAAATACTGGCTATGTCGCAATGGCTAAAATCATCATGAAATCATTATTTTAAAAGTTATCAAACTGCATATTGCACCACGTCATTTGTCACTAAAGTTTTGTTTCAAACTTCAGCTCACACACTTCACTGCCTTCAGTTGGATCATTCAGGTTGTGGTCTGCCTTATGGCTGAGTTGTATTGAATATTGAGATTTTACATTGAAAACATCCCACTTCCCAGGAATCAGGCCTCGCTTGAAGAGCACAGAAGCGAGGTAGGAGAACAACAAGATGGAGAACACGGCAGACAGCATGCAGATCGTCCTGATCGGCGAGCGCTGGATGTAGATGCCGTTTTCCAGAGTGTATCCTGGGAACTTGATGATGGCTGGTATGCCAAGCACCGGCTCCCCGCAGAGCAGCCGCAGGAGGATCCCGACGGCGCAGCCCAGAATGGCCCCGTAACCATTGGAGACGCTGAAGAAGAGCACGCAGATGAGCTGAGGTAGCATGAGAGTGTAGGTGAGGTCGGAGCGAAGCAGCCAGATCATCAGGACGCTGTTGTCCAGGAAGGTGAGCGACGTGCCAGCCAGGCCCACGACTATTACAGAGCAGCGGATCACCCACTGGATCTCCTGGTCAGACGCCTGCCGAGGAGGAATACCAAAAAAATTAATAAAATAAATCACCCCAACGGCATCAGGAGATTTGCTTAGGTGAGTATTGTCATCTTCTCACCTGCGTCCTCAGGATGTTCTTATAAATATTGGAGGTGAAGATGGAGGCTGCAGAAAGTAAAGCTGAGTCAGTGGATGACATCACGGCAGCTGCCACCGCCCCGATGCCAATGATGGAGATGTAGGAGGGGGTGAGGTGCTGAAGGACAAGCGGCAGGACGAGCCCTGTCTCCCCACGTTCATGAGGAGACGGGAATCCATAAGAAGTCAGGTTCCAGTCTGAGGAGAACAAATAAAGAATGAAAACATCCTTATTTGTTTGGTTTGTCTGAAAACTGATCCTAAAAAAATGATGGAACCACAGTGGACAATCCAGGTTTCAATATCTCGGACCGTTTACATACCTCTTCAATCCTTTTCCTTTTTAAAATGAGCAACAAGAAATATTGAAGTTTTTTATGATATTGTAATTTTTAGCTGCTTAGTTTCGTTTGGATGGGATTTCAACATAAAAAGATAGCATCATGAAATGAAAAGAAAAACGGTCTATAAAAAATCTAGATCTCGCCAACAAATTAATTTTTTTTTATAAAATGGGAAATATTTGGTTCAACACAAAAGCTTTTATCTATTATTTGCTGTTATTTTTGCTACAAAGGGGTAGATTTACATATTTTCCAGGCACATAACAATTTCATAGCACAATCAAGTAACTATGATAACTATGTTACCTTCAGTTATTATAAAAATGCTATGCATACATAGCAATTTGACTTTAGAATTTGACTTCCTGATTTAATGCCTTGAAATTGGGCCTCTGTCTCTTTAAGAAGCTCCTTCTCTTTCTGAAACTTCAGGAAGTCATCCCACTATGGCTCCCCTTAACCCTTTAGCAACGTTTTTACCAGGGTTGCTTTGAGCCAGGTGTTTGCTAATTGCTGCTGGCTAGTGTGAAGGAGCTGTTCTGAGAGGCGGAAGCTTGGTAACTGCAGCTCTGAGGAGGAGCTTCATCCTCGAAGGCTGGGCTAGGTTGACCCAGGTGTTTTGTACAGCTGGATGGTTGCCATGGAAACTAAAGAATTTCTCAAAGATGCATAAAAGAATCAAAGCAACACTCCAGATCTGTTTCTGAGGGAATAACATTATAACATGATGTAAAAGCTAAAAAGGTGGCTTTTACATAATCTTGCCTCTTTGATTAAAAAAGGAACACAAACATCCAATGAATTTTACTCAAAGGAGACATGGGCCGTTTATTGAACTTGGCTAAAGAAATCTGAAGAGATTAACTTACAATTCTGTTGTTGTTTCTGAGAAAAGACTACAAATTTTCTTGGCCAAGAAAATACAAATCAATCATCCATAAACAAAAACATTCAAAACTCTTGGCATCATTTACACACCCATTTTTATTTCAGTGAGAATTGGGAAAACTTTTGTCTCTTAAGAAAAAAAAAATCATGTTTTTTGAGTTGGTAATATGTTCGTTTTATTTTAACTTTTTAAAAAATGGATAAAAAGAAATGTGAATCATGTGAGAATGGCCTAGTTAAAGTCCAGACTGAAACCCCAATGAAAACCTGGTGGAAACAGACTTTAAAAGGCTTTCAAAGTAACTGCTTTGGTATCTCTACAAAGTGTTATTTCCACTGAATTATGTTCATCTTTGAGTTGTCCCTTCACTTAAATCTTACTACTTAACACCAAGCACTCTGTATCTTTCTATTTTAAGGAACAAGAGTAAAGATTTTGTCCTACATAATGTATCATGACAACATAANGTGGTGNATTANTTTATTATTCCACAGTGGTTCCTACTTGTTGACGCAGCAGCTGCTCCCAGGAGAATAGGCGGTATTCCCAGCGTGGGAACGATGAACGCAGCAGCAAAGCAGGTGATCTTGGCTGTAGACGAGGACGATGCAGAAAGCGTCCTTTGGTGAAAATTCTGCAGACCCAAATTCCCCAAACCCTGAGAAACAAAGAGAGGGGCAGGAAAAATAAGAGCTGTGGGAAGCTGGCGGGAGATGTACTGCGAAACAGCATGATGTAGGATTGGGCTGAAAAATGTTTCCCTCAAGGTGGAGTCGGGCCGTCTGGAGTATTCCCCAACCCCAGACGAGCCGCTGGTGTGTTGCGAGACGAACTTCTCAGATATCGTCTATGAAAAACTTTTAGATCGCAAAGAAGATCATCTTCAGCCAAGGGCGTAAATCTCATCTCATTATTGGGAGGGACCATAAACAGGGATATTTTTTAAGAGCAATTTTGGGGGTCAGCAAAGTTAAGATAAAATGTGGTTTAAATTTTGTTTGTTTTCAAGCTGCACCATCAAAAATGACTAGTAAATAGCAATGAATAACAAAGTGTTTTTCTCAGTAACAACCTGTTGAGACCCATAGAAGTCAAAATA